TCGTGTACGTTTGCTTCAACAAACGGGAGTTCAGAGTTAATCTATAGTCACCACAAATTCTAGGTGTCTTGCCGTCCGACTTCATTGGCGTAACGATAGGAGTACACCATGCTGAAGACTGAATTAGTTCAATTATGCCTTTCGCACACAAATCGTTTAATGTATGATGTACTGCTTCCCAAAGACAATAAGGAATTATTCGTCTTTTAAGAAAAAACTGGATCACCCTGTACTTCAAGTTTTATAATCTGAATTTTCATACCTTCACTGCACTTAGCACACCTCGCTATCAAATCTTTAAGTAAAGTATCAGAATTCTCCTTAGAGTCTAGGAAGAACAACTCCACTTTAAGCCTTTTCAAATTCTTTAAACCTAATATTGACAGTCCTGTTTCGCTAACTAAAAATTCACAAGGTATGTGTGAGGAATTATCATCTCTTATTAGCAATTCACAGCATCCTCGTACGGGCAGTCTGTGTCCAGTAATCAATATTGATACTTCAGTGGGTCGTACCACAACGTTAGGATCTAAGAATTTCAAGTTCTTGAATGAAATAATGGACTCTATACTGCCTGTGTCCACAATAAAGTCATGAAATGAACCAAGCGATGTATATAGTCGCTTTTGAATATGAGCATTACCTTTCGAAATAGTAGACAAGGATAAATGATGGCTAGAAACATCCGAATTATTGAGATTTAAATGACAAGATTTAGTACTACTTGAAGCAAAATGAACAGTAGCTTTGCATACTGACTGAATGTGTCCTATCTTACCACATTTAAAACATTTAGCATTACGAAATGCACATGAATTACGAGGATGAAACTTTCCATATGATAAACATTTACCAAACTTCATCTCACTTTTGTGATTTGCTTTGTTATTTCTTGTTGAAACACCTTTCACGTTTACACGAGAATAAGATTCTCCGTTAAATGAACGCAAGTTTGATTGACCCTGAGATTGTAGTTCATCGGGACAACTAAGCAAAGTATTAGAAATCTTCATTGACTGTATATCACGTTCATTTACTGCTTCATAGTTAATACACGCAGTTCTAGCATCTTGAAAGGAACAGTTTGGCATTCTTAACAGCTCTCTTTCCAAACTCGGTATGTTAATTCCTGCAATTAATCGATCTCACAGTTGTACATGGAGTTGATCACCGAAATTACACTTGGCAACTTTTTGATCATTTTGACGAACCATCTCATGAAATTTCGCCCTTTCATGGCATTCAAAACTGGTGCATTTTACATGATTTATTAATAGCTCTTTAAGAGTTGCATAAGGAAGTGAGATAGGTTTTTCTGGATATGCCGAAGTTTTTTCTAAGCTGTAAGCTTCTCTCCCAATGAATGTCAGGAAATGTGCCACAATTTTATCACGACGCCAGTATAATGTTTCGAATTGTTTGAATTATAGCACAAACTAAGAGTCCAATAAATAACGCGATTGAATTAGGAAAACACAGGCACAACCGAATGTACTGTATTTGGAATTCAAAATCGTACAATCAACCAGTACAATAGTATCATTAGTTCGTTCAAACTCCACACGGACATATTTGTACTTACTTAGTCAACTGATATTATGGAGAAAACAAGTCAATCAACATGGATTATTAAACGACATATAGGTTCCAGTCTTTAAAGAGGTTAGTCGTGGAATTTATAGCTGAATTACAACGTTTTTTCGACTATGACACTGGGAGACAATTGTTTCATTGATATATGAATTATCTGCGCATTCCATACTGCATATCGTTCCGATTGACGAGTGTGAGACAGAGCAAAAGTTTTGTTCCAAGCTACCTGCTCATTTCATTCAACCATCTCACATCTTGTTCATTCATATCTTAGCAAACAGATGATTGATTGTAGTACACATCTACCAGATGTAAGTGAAGTTGGACATCATGTATATCTTTACTTTATAATTAAATATGTGTTATTTTTTGATAAATCGAATCGCCATTTTTGATCGCACCCTGATCATAAATGCCACTATGAACCTATCAAGAAATGTTCCAGATCGATTTGTGAATCTCTACAATATTGAAGTCTATAGGCAATTAGAATCAGATTAATTTCAGTTTAGAATAATTAGAATGAGGAAACTTATAGAATATTGTGATTTTGGTCAAAAATTACACTTCTAAATCACATTAGCTTCATAACACCTCATACTCTTTGAATGATACAATTTTCCAGGAATCGAAGTATCATTCAACAGATTGTTGAGGAATAAGATTTTAAAAAATTCGAGAATTCTGTCTGATTCATCGCATTGAATATAAAATAACATCAAGTTCTATTATTTCTGTAATATGCAATAAAATATTCAAAGTAATATTGATTACTTCTTCAATCTCAGTGTAAACAACGTGTTTCTCTAATGAACAAAAACATATTTCTGTTGACCTCTCTTGTTTATAGAATCAGCTATGATTATACTTTGTTATCATTGATCACCTCATTGCATAATATGATATTCTCTGTTCTGTATCGTGGGTGTAATATCAATCTTGGTTAGAGTAAAACAACATCGTTTTCTAATAGTATGCTGTTTATCTGGCTGACAATCCTCGACATACAAACATCAAAGATGAGTGAAATTCTCATTTTACAAATTATTACTACTTTTCTGGTCGTCAATTCATAGATGATCTTGCTCCAGCCATGAATAAACACTCCAATCATTCACCATCTCACTTGTATTGTTCAGCTAAGTTCATGTTTTAGGATAAGGATAAGTCTTCTCTGTGATTCCTGTTTTGTCACACTTTTGATAGATTTACAAGCACTGAATGAGTTACATAGCGTAAAACATGGAATGTATCTCTCTGGTGATGTGAAATTAAACTACTATGGTGAATGCGATAAGACTTGAATCCATGTATCAATCTGGGCTAGGCCACCATTAAAAACCCGGAACCATCGGACGGCCGTTTAGTATAATACTCATGAATCCCAATATTAAAATTACTGCAATCTTAACGGATACCCACTCTGACAATATTATAATGCTGTTTAAAGTTTTGTTAGAAAAAGAAAAGTCTCATATATATTGCATCATTTGGTGTCATTATTAACGCTAACACTCCATTTACAGAATATCTGAATGATGTTCAAAACTTTCTACAAGTTTGTAAATGGTTTGGTACATAAATTCGGTTTTAATAATTTGAAAGATACTTCATTTTGATTAACGCACAAGTTCTTGGAGGTGTTAGATGCAAACTAATGTTCTCACTGAAGAATAACTGTCTAGGTGAGTTAGATACGCGCCATTGCCCGAATGAAACCAAAACAATGTGATTGGGTAATATGACGATTGTGAAATTCATTATAAATTTAAATGTACACCCATCTATTCAATCAATAATTGTTCAATGAATCAAATCTAAATTACAATACGTAAGGAAGTTGATAAAGGATGCGAGAAAATTATCAATCGGAACAAATCAATGTTATTTCATCCTGTCTGGTTAGATCACGCATAGATTCGTTCAAAAGATACTACTCGATTGCTTGATAACACAGAGTATCTTCGATTTTGGAAATGTGCCTCAATTCACAATCAAAAATATACAATTATAGTCAATGCAAGCAACACAATCAAAAGGAGGAACCAATATGGCTGCTGCCAACACTTAGTATCAAGTAAACACAACATAAATGCAGTTCAGGAAGAAACACGGAAACTTAGTGAAAGCGTAAGAAAAATAAAAACTATAATAAAATACAAATATGACCAACTCAAATGGGATAAAAAAGAATCACAAAGTGTAAAACTAAAGGAACAACAACAGGAACAAACTACAAATGTATACATGGAAGGATTTTTGCACACACACACACACACACACAAAACCTTCAAAATGGATTATACATGAGGTATTATTCCATTCAAAACATCAGTGAAAAATGTTGTGTAGACGAATTATTCTTTGTAAAATCAACGTTAGATAAAGAGAAGAGTCTATTTAACCTGAAGGAATAAAAGCAGTGATACTTTACAAGACTATTTATTTCACACTAGACTAGTTTCTCATAAATCCATGAGAACACGACTGATTATTAGCCAAATTAACTTTATTAATGTGATCAGTCATTGACGCAAACACTTCAGTTTTTTTCAAATCTCTCATTTTGTTACCAATTTTACGGCAAAACTGTTACTAGTTCACATAGTTACTAGTTCTACATCCTTTTTCATTCCCACATGAGTATCAGATGGACCCTTTAAAATTATTTCATATTCAACACATTCATAACACCTAATTAATAACAGTCTGTCAACCAGCTCGCACTCAACAGTGAATAGTCCAGTAACGAAGGATTAATGTGCTTTGTTAAATATTAATGCCGCATTCCGACACTTAATTTTAAAACAATGAACGACGTCAATTTCGAATGACGTTTCTCAGTATTGAGACTTTAACAAAATGGACATTTACAACGGACTCAGTTTTCATTTCGATGTTTACATAATCACGTATACACGATACTGTTCATTGACAAGTGCAATGTTGTAATCTCTTGTGAAATTACCCATGTTCCCATTGAATACAAACAATGACATAAATACAGAAAATTATATTTTTATATTCTACCAAACAAAGTGACATCAGTCATTAAGTAAACAATCATCAATTTGATATGCAGTTCCATGAAACAATCTTTAATTTATTGAAATGTTGAACGAAATAGAAAGTGTGTTTACTAAACTACAAACTGAAAATAATAAAGTCAACTTAATTAAAACAATTGACAAGCTGTTTGTGAGGACTATGGATGAATTCTGTTCCTTCTATAGAACCATAGCCAAATGCCAATGCCAATGCATACAATAAGGAAAGTTATAACTAATGGTACAACAATGTACACGTATTGCAGTGATTTTCCTTTGTCAATGCCTTCAGTTGTATTTGTAGTCATGTTCTGGAATAAACGAAATAGTATAATGATTAAAATAATATCAAATATTTACCAAATGTGATTCAGTACTTGGACTAGTCTTCTTCAATTCAGTTGTTGGTTCAGTAACAACGTTGACAGTCGAGCTCTTCGAAAGAAGGAAACAGTGGAAATACAATTGAATATCAAATATTTCATCATTCATTATACACCATTGTCAGTATTGATGACACAAGTGAATTCAACAATTAGTTACATAATTTACATTTGCACAATATGATCAATGAATAATGATTTAGGATATCTGCTACTGATTTAACAGTCAATGTGATGAGCACACACATTTTCCTACAACTAACTGACAACTTATTCGTGTGATGAAATTTGTTTCCTGGATGATTAACCTTATCTCAATGTAACTAACTGACGGCTTTATTGAAGCAATCCATCCAGAACACAAATTTCTCAACAGCGTATCAGTAATATCTGTTCTGAAATTCAACAATAGGAGTCCACAAACATTCACTTTCCAAACATCATGCAGAATTCATAACACATCATGCTTCATCATTTAAACTGATCTTATCGGAATTGAGTAACAATTCACACATACAGACGGTTTCATATTGGACATCGAGAATCATTACACATTCTATGAGCAAAAAAAATTAACATGTTTTCAACCATAAGTGTTAAACGACGCGTCTGTTGATTGTTGAATGTTCACATGGAAAAATGGCATCGTACTCATATCTGATTAAACGTCATCAACGTATACAATAAACTACTTGTTTGCAACAAGAAAATGTTCTTCCGAGTAAATAGATTCACAATGTAGAATATGGTGATATTGAAAACAATCTGTGAAGTCTACCAATTACTTACTTTATTCTTGCAACCACTTACTTTGAATTCATGACTATCCTTATTATTGCTGGTAATGCATATATTGGCTGTTTCCCACCAAATACACGTTGTATTCGATGTTGTTGCTTCTTGACATGCTTTATTCGAATTGTGTTTTGGACAATCTTCAGTGGGAAGAATGGGGTGATGTCATAACAAGTTATCAAACAAAAGATAAATGAATTAGAAAAAATATAACTATAACTCGATGATATAATGATGAATTTGAACTTTGCGACTATTTCATGCACAATGCACAATCGACTAACAGACATATATTATGACATCTATCGTTTTGTAAAATTAGGTACGCTTAAGTGAATTTTATCCACGTTAGGACGTGAAGGCCATCCATCCTTCATCATTTCAAATAATCAACAGAGAATCCACGAATAGGACAACGTCATTTGATACTGGTAGCTAAATTTCATTTAATTATTTACTGAAATTGCACATGAAGGTTTCAATTTTTGGAAACAAAATTGATGCATTCAACTGTGAAAATAGTCATTTCTGACACAAAAAAGTTTAACATACCCCCGAGAGCTTCATACTCTACTAACGTTCCATTTTGGATCCATTTTCCAGGAACATTTATTTTAGTTTTCCTCATACCTTGTGAAATAAATTTTACAGAGGAAAACAACTGAGATTTTGTTTAACAAACGTCTGTTAAAAAATGAGAATGAATTCTCGGAATATCCATGATGAAGATATTCACACATCATAGTTATATTATTCAGGTGTGTGTCAGCGGATGTGAGTCGTAAAATTCAATGTTTACGGAGTTCAGCATATAAAACAGAAATAACAGCAATACGAATACATCAAAACAACGACAATCGTTTTTGTGACACTAACAAGGATGACGGTTGTTCAAATGAAGACACAGATACTTGATTTCAAATCAGATTAATTCAGGGGTTCACTGTGCAAAAGAGTTGATCGAAACACGCGGATTTCTCAGGACTAGTAAGCACCTTGATTTATTATCACATGTGATACTACAACTTCGCTTCAAGATATGTAGACACATCATCCAAGCTGAATTTTCAACAAACAGTAGTGTTTCAACAATGAGTTCACCAGAAACATTCAGATTTTATTTCATACGCTCTTCATCAACACTTTAATGACACTTTGATCAATCTGTTTTCACAAGAAACTACTGAATGATGAAGACTGTAAGAAAGATATATTAGATCACTATGACGAAATACAGTAAATTTCTGTATTGACGTGGTGATCAAAGGGTACATAAAGAAGTTAATATTGGGCTAGCACATGACTGCATGTGTAGTCCGGTTTAAATCACAATGCAAATAACATTTGTTACCTTCTCCGCAATCAGTATTAGGCGCAATACTCGATACCTTTTGGCTTTCACGAATTACCTTAGGAATCTGAAAAGAAATAACGGAAGTCTGAGTAAACATCTGTCAACACACAACCATCTTTATCACAGCCAACCAATCACTGAAAGAATGTGTCGTCATTCACATCATTTTACACAAATACAACTTTATACAAATACAGTTACACAGTAAGCATACTGATCTCCTCAGTGTACTTAGGAGTGTGCATCATATGGTCTATGAAGATAATCCGACTCACTTCAGTTGTAAACGTTACTGAGATCCAGTGGACGATCCATCTATCATGCAATGATGAACTACAATGTAGGATGAATATCTACGTCACTTGACGAAAGTGTGATTGTGAATGACTGTAATGCTGCTGCACGTGAATTTGTTGTCATGTGGAGCAATTGTGTCAATGTACTCACTTTCATCCATCACCGTACATACAATTCCTGATTACCTCGAAGCAATCGAAATGGATTCAGTTCAACACAAATGAAATCTTTCATCTCACCTGACCTTTCTAGTTATCACACATCTATTGTATTTCAAATTGGTGAAGTACTAAATGCTGACATTCGAACAAGTACACAGTGAGAGACGATCAAAATTTTAACAATTTATCTCACAGATTATTTGACAATGAAATTGTCAATTAGCTGAACTTCAGAAGACGCAGTAAAGCTTGACGGAAAATGACTGTGTTGGAAAGTACTATATAATACACTGTTTGTCCTTAATCGGCTCAAACACGTCAGAATTCCTATCGATAACATTTGACTCCCTATAACTCATTGTTTTAAAAAAAGTGCTGGAATAACGTGTGTCATTATGGAGTTATTAAAAGAGTCGTATAGTCTGTGTGCACGTTAAAAACTGCTGATATCCTTCTATCGTGTTCAATGTATCTTGATGCATTCGACAGTGTTGATTTGCGCAAAGTAAGATAATGATCGAAAATACTTGAAGCAACACCATATTACTATTCAATTGTGCAACTTACGTTATTATAATAGAATGATATCTTCCCATTCGGATGTATCATAGTAGTTATATTGAATGCATGACCTGCAAGCAGAAGACTATGGTTATTTAGAATTCGAGGTGTTAATGATCAGCATGTCATTGTTGGATGCGAAAGTGTATGTGCCTACGTACAAAGTGATCAGTTTTAGGCAGGTACTTTCTTCGTTATCTCAAATGTTTTCTCTGGTAGGATTCGTAATTAATATAATCTAGTGAAAGTCGTACAAAATGAAGCAAACATGCATCCTTCAATATAAATTTTAGATAATAAGGTTCCGAAGCTGGATTACAACCCCGTTTTCATATCGAAATAATAAGTCATCGGGCTTCCAATTAAATCTGATAGTCGAGGAGGTATTGACATTTCTCAAAACTGTCTATAATTACAGCTGGAAAAATCGACCCTTAGTACACATGGCATTAGCTGTGGTTTGTTTGTTTACAAATAGAACATGGGTAACTTAACCGGTTATGCAACGCATTGGTTTATCAGTGTTCGGTAACGATGGAAAATGAATAGCTTCAGATTGTTCGTCATGGTGATTTCTTAATTTGAATGAATAATTCTTATGAATGACCGTGTGGTGAGTAACACAAATTTACTTAATTCAGAATACAGACTTCAAATCAAGTTTCATTGAAGCCTGTTGACGAAGATGTATCTCTGCATTAGTTTATCCACAAGTAAAATGTGTTTATTCATACGAATTTATTTATTACACTTGAAATCTAGTGTGCTCCTGATTATGTCAACTGTCCTTCAGCTCTCAATCAATGTGTTCAAACAATCGGTGGATTCCACATATAATTCCCCCTTCCTAATTTGATGGGACGGTTACATTTTATTGCTTTTGTCAGTTTTCGAAAAGAATTCAGTGATGTAAAATAAACAGAAAACGTGTAAGCAAGTACTGCGAATGTTGGTGTAGATTTTTGAATATTTCATGCATATTCAAATAATCATTTTATGGATACATACTTTTATCATCAGCTTCTAGATCATAAGAATATATGACGGCTAATAATTCCCCTGAAATGATGAAAGTAAAAATATTTGTGTTTTTACATAAATGTATAATGAATATCCATAGAGAATGAGTTTGGACACGAGTTATCATCTTCCTTTCAAGATTTAAGTAAATCGGTTCAATTAAATGGGAGTTGAAAGGAGACGTATCATTATTTCAACGATATGATGAATGTTTCAAACCAACCAACTGAGAAGAATATTCTACTTCCAAAACGTTGATTTTAAAAGCTTCAGACAATCTAATAGACCGGTAATATCTTAACGACAGTACACATACAAAATCATTTTCTGACATTGTGTTATTCCAATCGAACAGTGTCCCCTCAATTGAACTAATTATGACTCAGAAATTCTACTTTCATGTCACTAAATGCAATAATTGAACAAAATGAGTGAACTTCATTTCGATGTTCCAGTTGTTCCGGGTCGAATCAATCATGTTTTACCAGTTCACTGTTCATGGTAATTTTTTTATCATCTGTCATTATTATTACTGATGGCTGTTTTAGATCCATACGAATATGATAGTCAAAACTGTGATGAATACACACAGTGGTTCACAGATACTAACTAAGAGACATTCATTCTTCATGAAGTAAGTTAAAGAAAACAATCGGACGTCATCAAATGTAACATGGTAGTCCATGTGATTTAATAATCCCAAAATGATTTCTCACACAACATCGTTTATTGTTCTAAATGTGTTCAGCTGGATTCGTTCAATTTATTATTACTACTCAATCAATTTGTGTTTATTTTAAAGTGAACCATCTTTCTCACTTGACAGTAATGAATAGGTGTTGTGAACACATTTTTGGAGCATCAAATCACACAAGCAAATTAATCCCTGTGAACTGGTCAGCTCTCAAAATATAACCAGGTCAAATATTGAATCATTTATGTAAAATAAAAGTGAGAAATGAAAGACAAAATTAAATTATCATCAGATAATAGAGGTACTCACGCTGATCTGAAATTTCTGTTTTCACAAGAGGAGTGTCCGTCAAAAAATTTTTAATATCTCCTATCTTTTTTTGATCGTACATATGAATTTGACCTGTATTTATCAAATGAAAACATGAAATTTAATTGACAATCAGTAGAGAATGAATTAAAGACTTCTAGATTAACTGGAGACAAAATGAATTTGATGGATCGTAATTGAATTTCCGTTAGACTTTAAACTGTTTACAAATTGAACAAAATAAGATATCAGTAGACGTTTTGAATGTTAGAAAGAGCATAAAACTGATTTACTGAAGAAATTAAAGCAAATTCGGTCCACGGAATGAAATGAGAATAAACAAAACTCGTAACAACATCAGTTCGATGAAAATGGTTCGCTTACCAAATTTGAATATTTCGAATCTCATGACTGTAGTGCCGTAAAACGTAAACGGGAATGTTGCATTAATTACCTGATTATAAACAAACATATGGATTAGTACCTCGATTGTAAAATTTAGTCAACTCACTTTTTTATCAACCAAACTTTCAAAGCTGCCTTTAATAACTGGAAGAGGTTGATTAGACCGGATTGTCTGGGAATAATAATAGTGATGAGACTGAATGTGTGTATTGGAACCAGACTGATTACTTACATATCGATATGTTTCATTTTCAGAAATTACATTTTCAGGTATTGTGCAAATGTCATGGCAGTCGAAGAATGTATAAATTAATACGATGATCAAATACAGCAGTATAAACTGGCCAGTTGCAAAACTCTGCCTGGAATGGTTCAGATAAAAAAGTAGACAATCTTATTTCATTGAAACAAATTCAAGTTCATATAACACACTCATTTGCTTTAACTGTACAGTCAACACTCACTTCATCTTCTTGTTCACAACGTTAATAATTGTTGTTAGACCTTGTCGTGTTTATATCAATTTTTTAACTGTTTGTTTGTTTCTTTCTTATTCGACGATCCAAAGTGACCATTGGAAACATCACATTTCATAAAATCATATGGTCATTGTTGACCACTCATTGTAATGCAATATACTTCTAGTTGTTGTACTTTAAAGGCTGACACTTATTCACCGTTGGTTGAAATTCCAAGGCCTCTATTGGTAAAAATTATATTGGATATGATCAGCAATAGTTTAAACTTAGTAAGGGGTTTTTAATGTTGATCGAAATGTGTGCTCATATTTTCACGAACAAACATTTTGTTACTTTTATTGATTTATGAACTGTTTACCAATGATGCATTTCTTTGGTTTGATAGGTTAAAATCCAAGTAACAAAATCTATCTTGATTGGACAACTTAATTGGCATTTGTACATCTGAATTTATGTTTTATGACATAAATCCTGTCAGACGACTCCATAATCATTGAATGTGGGATTGTATCTTCCGAACAGTCACAAAAAGCCCATTTGACCGGCACATTACACCGTTGGCTCTGAATAGATTTAGCGATCAAAATATTCAAAAGGTTTCTTATTAGTCAGGTAGAAGTGAACGTGAATGCGTTTACACTAAACGTAATGAGTCAATTACTGTTGAATTATTAACAGTCTACATTTTCGTTAATGAATAATAATTTCAGCGGAAGAAGCTCAAACTATCCATGATGTGGTTATTATTGAAAAATGCTATTCTTAGCAGTGTGATGGTGAATTTTGCGCTCCAAAAAGATGTCGACAGTAACCAAAATATTGCTTCCACGAGTATCACATTCTGTTGACGAATAAACGATATTTGTTGGGTGATTTCGCGGAATCATGAATATCAGAATTGTTTTCAGTTATACATTAAATTGTCCCACTAATATCTGGCCTATTATCAAATTATTTTTATCATTTATTATCATGACATGTAGTCGCAGTATTTTTTGGGTCATTATGTAGCTTATTCACTAGGGCTTGATAAAAGTTCACTTGAGTGTTTGTTCAGTTCATTGTATCCACGGAAGCAATAGTTAATGGAATAGTGAGCTCATCCCATGAAATCACTGTCAATTTCTCATAAGTTTTCAACTTCAGTGAAGTTGAATGAACGATTTATCTGTCGTGGAGTGAAGTAATACATTGTGAGATGAATATCTACGTCCGTTGATGGAAATATGATTGTGATTAATTGCATCATTACCTCATGTGAATTTGTTGTCATGTGGTAGAATTGTGTTGATGTGCTCACTTCCACCCATTACCGTTCATTTCTCACGAGAATTCTTACTATAATGTGTCCTAATTACCTCGAAACACTCAAAACCAATTCAGTCCAACACACATAGAGTATTTCATCTCACCCTCAGTTTCAAGTGACCCAACATTTAATGTATTTCAAATGAGTGAAGTACCAAATACTGATAATCAAAGATCTACACACTGTGGAGAGGTTGCTATGTCCATCAATGAGTTACATTCGACGATTCATTAGTAGAATCATTGAACAGATTATCTTCAGATGATAGACGTTTTCATATGAATATTTAGCACACTACAAAACGTTGGCTTCTTTCTATCGTGTAAAACCTTATTTGTAAACCAGCGTTTTACTCAATTCCATTTATGGCTGTCAATCAAACTGAATTTCGTACACATTCCACAATATCAACTGATTTAGTTGAATCAGGGAAAATAATTACGTCCACATAAGTGGAGTTATAAACTCCTGAACTAAAGACCGACCGCGCGCTACAGACTGGACGTTACTTTCACGTCGAGGTTTTTAGTTTTATTTTTCTAGGATTCTCGCAGAGCTGGATTAATTATTTTTACTTGGATTCATGGAAAATAACTCATTTCTTAGTTATTAACATATAAACTGTGAATTCCATGCTATATGATAAGATCTGAGTTTAACTTACGGTATTTATGACCATATACATACAATAATTCATAATTATATAATTACATCTATTCATTTTGACTATACGATCAAACTATACTCTGTCACTTTGAAACCATATATGAGCATATTTGACAAAGATTTGCATTTCATATCTGTATTCTATTCTTTAAGGAATATATGGTTATATCGTATTTGAATGCTTTAACCCATGTACTTTATGTATCTACAGAATCTATTCAAACCTCTATTTAAAATATCAAGAAATATATATAACCGTGTATGTTAAAGGACTGTATTCACTATTTTATGAACTATTATTTAAATTGTATTTGGATACTATAAATCATTTAATTTCCGAAGCTACCAGTCCAATTCGGTGAGTCTGTTATAGTTTTTTTTGACAGTACTTTTTTTTCCCAAAAAGCTGTTTCATATATTTGTTCAAGAAGCAACATAATAATCTTTGACGGTAATAATCTTCTAACCTACTTGTCTCTGCATCTCCCAATTTTTACTAATACGGACTTTCAGTTTTTATATGTCTCATGTACCGTGCTTACTTTGATTGTTTGATACTAATTATCGACATTTCTAAATTACTTTACTATATAAGGTGATCTTTCATGTCATATATATGTTATAATTTATACAACTTGCTCCTTTATATTCTATTTTGCCTCCACACAGATACTGACATAAATACTTCATCTCCACTACTATCTTCCTGCCATTATCATCTTCTGTTTTTAACACCACTAATCCTCACGATACATTGACTCTTGGTTAAAACATAGATTTTGATTTTTAGACTAACTTGAGCCCTCGGAATTGATTTTTTTCACCCCTTTCTATTTCCAACATTCGGTTCAATCCACTTGCTATGCGTCACTTTCTTATTATGCCACAAAATGATTTTAGTAACACACTTCACTAGACAACTTGTAAATGCCACTCATTACTTTCTCCTCTATCTCATCTATTTTCAACATGCGGAAAACTATCTCATAACAATCAACATTATGCAAAAATATACTGCGAAGCAGAAATACGTAAACGGTTGCACGCAATCGCAAATGAAATATTCCAACTAAAGATGTATTTCGTTTGATCAACGTTTTCCAATTGACCTACTGATACAATGACTATTGAATGATCTGCATTCAGGAACAAGATTTGAAAAATTGAGAATTCTGTCTGATTCCCTTCATCGACTATAACATTACACCAAATTCTATCATTTCTGTTACATTCTGTGCAAACATTTAAAGTAAAATTTATTATTATTATTATTTCTTTAATCTCAGTGTAAATTATCTGACCATCTAATTAACAAAAACATATTTCTGTTGACCTCAGTTATTGACAGAAATCTCAGTGATTATAACTGTGTTGTCGTCGTCAGTCACCTCACACCATCTCATTAATCAAATAATATGGTATTATTCTATATCATCTATTATGTATAGTGGGCGTAATATGAATCTTATTTAGAATAAAAAAACAACATCGCTTTCTAATAATAACTTGATAATTAGCCACACGTTCACAACATATTAGAGTGAAATTCTCATTTTTCAAAAGATTACTACTTTCTATCAACAAAATGAAATGAAAACAATTATCTCGGATGTCAGTTCATAGAAGGTATTACTGCAGCTATGAACAAACACTGGGCCATTCAACTTTACGGCCGTTTCGTCCCATTATGCGAGTCCTCAGCATCGCGCATCCGCGATCCCACACATAGAGAGATTCTAACCTAGCGCTCACTGTAGACAACAGTGTAGGGTGGTGCGACACCGTGATTGGCTGATGTTAGACAATAACAACGTTGGTCTAGTTGGTTAAGCGCCTGACGCGAGACATAATAGGACCTGGGTTCGAAACTCGCAGGGTGCGGGATCATGGATGTGTACTAATATGTGTAATTAACACATGTATTTCATCTAGGCCTAATTCACCTGCAAAACAATCAAAATGAAAAACATATATCTTCCTCACATTTATTAGGATCATGTGTCGCACGTTTTCAGCTTTATGTTGTCTTCAGTCTTTCTCCTCTACACTGGCTTTGAAAATTCCAAGTTAAGACTTTCTTTGTGACACACTTCGGTGCTTTCCTCAATGTGTTTCCTATACACTTCCAGCGTTTCTTCTTTATTTCTTCCTCCGCTGAAATCTGGTTTGTTCTTTCCCACATTAGGTTGTTGCTGATAGTGTCTTGCAAGCGAGTCCGAAGTATTTTACGTAGACAACTGTTAATCATCACTTGTATCTTCTGGATGATGGCTTACGTAGTTCTCCAGGTTTCCGCCCCATACAGTAGAACTGTTTTGACATTTGTATTGAAAATCCTGACCTTGGTGTTGGTTGACAGTTGTTTTCACTTCCAGATGTTGTAAATATGCTGCTCTTACTTTGCTGATCCACACATCTGCATCAACTCCACTGAGTTCATCAGTGATGCTGCCCAGATTTGTGAAGGTATTTACACCTTTCGAAGCTTCTCCGTCAAGTGTGATGTGATTATTGCATGCTGAACATCTGATTTGATATCAGGATTTGAGT